TTATTGCAGAGGTCATAACACAGCACAAAAAACTCACCCGGGTCACCGTCTTATCGGCGTTATTCACACATAACTCTCATTATGGAGGCTTCCTGTGCTCCGCCCCCCCCGCCCTACGTCCCCACCCCTCCCCTCCCTCTCCCTCTATCCTCACCCTGTACCACCTGTCCCCTCCCATCCGCTCTCCCGCCTTATCACCCTATTCCCTCACCTTATGTGTATCACCTATTTCTCCTTCTATCTATTTCTACCCTTCCTTTCTCTCCACTTCTCTTCCATTCTTCTTCTTCCTCGTGTCTCTGACTCTGTCTCCGTCTTTGTTTCTTTCTCTCCCTCTCCCTTTCTCCACCATCCCCCTTTCCTTAACTCCTTCTCTCTTTCCCCCCCTATTCTTTCACAAAACGTCTCGATTCCCCAAGAACAGTCAACCCCATTCTACCCTTCACACCCTCCGCCGGCATCCCGTATATACAGTTACAAACCCATTCCTCCCCTTTTTTCTACAGTCATACACAGTTAAGCATCCCTCCCTCCCTTCCCTCCCGCCGGCGATAGGTCACAACCCCCCCCCCCTCCCCTCGCGGACGACTCCACGACTCCGCGATGACTTCCCGGCGGATAAAGAGGCCATGTTTTACTTAATCTCCGCTTCCTTTTCTCGAGACGCCGGTGTCAATGGGGTGTCAGTTCAGCCCTTCCTGTGCGGCGCGGCCTCCGTCGGTCTCTCTCCGTACCGCGGTCTCGTGTCTGTGTCGCCCTGTCTCCGTTTCTATCCGCCCTCTCGCTCTTGCTCTCTCCCGTTCTCTCTCTGCCTCTCTCTTTCTTTATACCTACCTACGTACCTACCTCTTTCTCTCTTGCGTTATTACCGAAATAATTATTAACAAATAGCAAATTATGGCCCTTTTAAATACGATATATCATTTGTGTATTTCCTTTCTCTCCTATATTTCGGTATATCCGTATTCCTCTCATTTCTTTGCAATCATAAGGAAGTCTTTTTTTATTTATTTCTCTCACCCTCTATTTCCACCCTCCTTACCTGAAATTTCGTCTCACCTTTCTTTCCCTCTTCCTCTTCTCCGCCTCTTTCCTTCTCCTCCTCTTCCTCCTCTCCCCCTTTCTTTCCTTCTCTTTCTCTTCCTCTTCTCCCACTCTTTCCTTCTTCCCTCCTCTTCCTCCTCTCCCCCTTTCTTTCCTTCTCTTTCTCTTCCTCTTCTCCGCCTCTTTCCTTCTCCTCCTCTTCCTCCTCTCCCCCTTTCTTTCCTTCTCTTTCTCTTCCTCTTCTCCGCCTCTTTCCTTCTCCTCCTCTTCCTCCTCTCCCCCTTTCTTTCCTTCTCTTTCTCTTCCTCTTCTCCGCCTCTTTCCTTCTCCTCCTCTTCCTCCTCTCCCCCTTTCTTTCCTTCTCTTTCTCTTCCTCTTCTCCGCCTCTTTCCTTCTCCTCCTCTTCCTCCTCTCCCCCTTTCTTTCCTTCTCTTTCTCTTCCTCTTCTCCGCCTCTTTCCTTCTCCTCCTCTTCCTCCTCTCCCCCTTTCTTTCCTTCTCTTTCTCTTCCTCTTCTCCGCCTCTTTCCTTCTCCTCCTCTTCCTCCTCTCCCCCTTTCTTTCCTTCTCTTTCTCTTCCTCTTCTCCGCCTCTTTCCTTCTCCTCCTCTTCCTCCTCTCCCCCTTTCTTTCCTTCTCTTTCTCTTCCTCTTCTCCGCCTCTTTCCTTCTCCTCCTCTTCCTCCTCTCCCCCTTTCTTTCCTTCTCTTTCTCTTCCTCTTCTCCGCCTCTTTCCTTCTCCTCCTCTTCCTCCTCTCCCCCTTTCTTTCCTTCTCTTTCTCTTCCTCTTCTCCGCCTCTTTCCTTCTCCTCCTCTTCCTCCTCTCCCCCTTTCTTTCCTTCTCTTTCTCTTCCTCTTCTCCGCCTCTTTCCTTCTCCTCCTCTTCCTCCTCTCCCCCTTTCTTTCCTTCTCTTTCTCTTCCTCTTCTCCGCCTCTTTCCTTCTCCTCCTCTTCCTCCTCTCCCCCTTTCTTTCCTTCTCTTTCTCTTCCTCTTCTCCGCCTCTTTCCTTCTCCTCCTCTTCCTCCTCTCCCCCTTTCTTTCCTTCTCTTTCTCTTCCTCTTCTCCGCCTCTTTCCTTCTCCTCCTCTTCCTCCTCTCCCCCTTTCTTTCCTTCTCTTTCTCTTCCTCTTCTCCGCCTCTTTCCTTCTCCTCCTCTTCCTCCTCTCCCCCTTTCTTTCCTTCTCTTTCTCTTCCTCTTCTCCGCCTCTTTCCTTCTCCTCCTCTTCCTCCTCTCCCCCTTTCTTTCCTTCTCTTTCTCTTCCTCTTCTCCGCCTCTTTCCTTCTCCTCCTCTTCCTCCTCTCCCCCTTTCTTTCCTTCTCTTTCTCTTCCTCTTCTCCGCCTCTTTCCTTCTCCTCCTCTTCCTCCTCTCCCCCTTTCTTTCCTCGAGGAGGGGAAGGGATGGAAGAGAAGAGGAGAAGAGAGATGGACGAGGATGAGGATGAAGGAGAAAAGGGGAAAGGGAGAGAAGAAATGGAGAGGGGAGGGGAGGGTAAGAGCGATAACTGAGGGAAAAAGGGAGGAAATAAAGAAAGAGAGAAAACAAGGGAGACGAGGGTTAAGAAGGTGCGCCCGCAACCCAACTACGCCTCCTGAGGCTGATGAGTGGGCGGCGAGAGGAGGAGATGCAGGTGAAAAGGAAGGAAAGAGAACGATGGGGTGATAAGAATAGAGACACAGAGGGAGAACTGAAAGAAGCACAAGACAAAATACGAATGACGTATAAAAACAAATAAAAAATGGAAGAGGAAGTGGAAGAAGACGATGGAGAAGAGAAAGAAGGAGAAAAATAAGACGGATACAGAGGATGAGGAGGAGGAAGCGGAGGAAGAGGAGGAGGAGGAGGAGGAGGAGGAGGGGGAGGGGAAAAGGAAGGGGTGAGGGGAAGGAGGAGGAGGAGAGGAGGAGATGGGAAGGAGGAGGAGGAGGAGGAGGAGGAGGAGGAGGAGGAGGAGGAGGAGGAGGAGGAGGAGGAGAAAATGAAGATGGAAAGGCAGCAAAGATAGCAGCTGAAATTACGGGCGGCCGCACGATAGATCCTTCGCGGGCGCTTTCACATTCCCTCCGATGCAGCGCCAGTGACAAGAGAGAGACCGCAAAGGTAAAAAAAAAAGTCTCACGTTTGAGTCGGCATCCCGGCTACCTCCGCCGCCACCGACCCTTCTGCCGTGCCCGCCTTCGTCCAACACGAACCTCCCTTCCGTGCCCACCGTCTTTCCGGGTCTACTTTCATCAACTACGATAAAAAAAGAAAAGTAACGAAATATTCTCTGGCGTTATCTGAACGTGCTCCTTCTCGAGGCCTTCCCGAGTTCTCCCTTCCCTTGGGTCTGTTCTTTCTCCCTTGCCTTGGGTCTGTTCTCCTAAATTCTAATGGGCGGCGTTGTTCACAAGAGACGCAAAAGGAGAACCAGTTTTCTAACGCTTCGATGCCTGCGCCCCCGACTAAGCGCAAAGAGCCCGGGCACGCAGAGAAAAGACTCCATTCGCGCAGAACGGGCACGGTGTCGCGGTGGCAACTGCGGCCGTAATGATACAAAACGTGGCTACAAACCTGACTCTTGCAACACACCTTTTACGCCCGCTAAAATTTGTGTGTTCGCTGCAAATTCTCTCGTTCTCTCTTTTGCTCTCCCTCCCTCTCCCTTTCTCCCTTCTCTCTCTTTATCTCCCTTTCACCATTCTCTTTCTTCATCTCCCTTTCTCCCTTCTCTCTCTTCCTCTCCCTTTCTCCCTCCTCTCTCTTCCTTTCCCTTTCTCCCTCTTCTCTCTTCCTCTCACTTTTTCCCTCCTCTCTCTTCCCCTCCCTTCTTACCTCCTCTCTCTTCCTCTCCTTTCTTACCTCCTCTCTCTTCCTCTCCTTTCTTACCTCCTCTCTCTTCCTCTCCCTTTCCCTCTTCCTCTGTTTCTCTCTTTCTTCCTCATTCCTACTCTTTCTTTCTTTCTACCTCTCTTTCTCTCCCTCTCCCTTTCAACCTTCCTCTCCCTTTCTCCATAAAAACCCCATACCCTAACATACTCTCTCTCTCTCCTACTCTCCCTTCCCCCCACCCCCTCACCCTCCCTATCTTCTCTCTCTCTCCACAAAAACTCCACATTCCACTCCATACCCGTTTTCCCTTTACCTGCCCGTAATTACCCAGGCACCCCCCCCCCCCCCCCCGTCTACGGAAGTCCTGCCCCGTTATGGCAGTCCAAGCGCTCTCCAAAAGGACGCAGGACGCAGGACGCCAGCCGTACATGGGGCGCCTTACATTCCAGGACGCGACTCTTAACAAATGGCGAGATTATGCCAATCAGTGATCGAGTATTACTTGACATACCCACAATGGCGCTTTCTCCCGATTTTCTTCTGAACGAAAATAAAATGGATCTGATACCAATCAGTGAGCGAACATCAGCCTAATATACTCAATGTTTTTTTTTCAACAGTATAAGTGGTGATATTTATCAGTAGCCGAATATACCCCTAACAAGTCGGCATTTCTATCTAATGCTCGATACCTATCAGTAAATGAAAAAAAAAAAAAAAAAAAAAAAAAAAAAAAAACTTTTTTTTTCGCCGTTATATTTGTAGCGTTCGATTCGTTCAGTCACACATACTCTTCAGTTGGCATAAGATTTCAATAAACAGACAGAACTAGTTTTAAATACGATGAAAGTGTTTGCGCGCGTGACAGTGTTCTTGCTTGTTTGTTAGTTTGTGTGTGTGTGCGTGTGAGGGAGAGAAAGAGATAGAGAAAGGGGGAGGAGAGATAGAGAGAGATAGAGAGAGAGAGAGAGAGAGAGAGAGATAGATAGATAGATAGATAGATAGAGAGAGAGAGAGAGAGAGAGAGAGAGAGAGAGAGAGAGAGAGAGAGAGAGAGAGAGAGAGAGAGAGAGAGAGAGAGAGAGAGAGACGGACACATGGAATGATAGAAATGGATGGCCAGAGATGGGATGCTAGATGGGACATCTACCTGGCAGCTCCACGGTGCGGGAACTTGGGAGTGCTTGTGGCGAGGGGCGAGACGTCGTGCGGGGCTGCATGCACAACGCCTGTAATTTCGGGGGCAGAGGAAGGACCGGCTTCGAACAAGGGCTGATCTAAACCGAGGCGGTCTGGGTCGGCATGCGAGGCCATGCGGTGACCATCCTCATGCGGCTTGGTCTCATGGCAGGCCACCTGCGGAGCCGACGACGAGGCTTCAAGATGAGCTCGATGCGTGGACGTCGAGGTTCGCAATTGAGCCTCGTGCGGGTCGGCCTCCTCGCGGCGGTCACGAGGGGGTGATGGCGGTCGCTCATGACTTACGTAAGCGGGGCACGACGCGTACTCGTGGCAGCTGTCACACAGGAGAGACGACAGAAATCGGTGTCGGTCGTGCAAGAACGACGACTTTCGCGACTGGGGCTCGGGTTCCACAGCGCGAGGCGAATTCGTGGACGACTTGGCCGGGTCGTCCTGTCTGGCACCGAGCACTGCGCCACCCATGCCAACACAGGACTCCAGGAGGCCCGGGCCAGACCACGACCTCCGCAGCGGGTGGTGCTTCACGTCCCCAGCCAGGTCGAGGCGCGGAGGGCTGGCGCCAAGCGGGCCCGCAGGGTTGGCCTTTCGGGTCAGGGGCTGCGCTGCGTCGGCCGCCTCCGCCTCCCTGTCGTCTAATGGGCCTCCAAGGACGTCGAGTGGAGGTGCAGGCTGCTTTATCTGCGGCTGTGCATGTGGCTGTGGTTGTAGCTGTGTGTGTGTAAGTGGCTGAGGATGTGACTGTGGCTGTGTATGTGGTTGCTGCTGTGTATGCGACTGTGTCTGCGTAAGCGGCTGTTTTGGGGTAAACGGCAGTGTCCCAGTCTTAGTCTGTGACTGCGGGAGTATGTCAGCAGAGGGAGAAAGAGTCTCGACGCATCCGTAAAGTGGGTTTTCTATGAGCACTGGCAGGGAGGCAGCACGGGTATGGGTCGGAATCAGCACTCGCCTTGCTCCCTCCTCGGCGCTGCGAAGGGCGGGGAACTCCTGCAAGCCCTGGTCCTCGACACGAGGCGCCTCAGCCTCTCCCTCATGCCAGGATCCCGTCCAGCTAAGGGAACAGCGCAGCCGCCCCTTCTCCCTGCGCAGCTGCGTCTCCCACAACACGCGCTGGAAAACGTCGTCCAGGTACACGCCCGGCACACTGGTGGTGTCCTCCTCGAACCTCACCCTCTGCCACACCGCGCGAGCCCTGGGACTCTTGACCAGCGCCGGTGGAGGCAGCGGGGCGGCCACCGACAGGGAATCGCTCCTCACGTGGGCGCGCAGCATCGGAGATCTCGTGTCCTCTGCGGGCCTTCTCCCGGGTGCGGAGGGCAGGGAGCCGCTCCCTGCTAGCCCTGCCAGAGGGGCTGGCGTGTCGTCGCTCCCTCGCTCTTGATAACGCAGCTTTGTTTTCGAGGATAGCTGCGACCCATTCGTCAACAGCAGCTGCGAATGGCGTGCTGTTGCAGACTTATGGTCGTCGGCAACGTTTATTACATTTTCTAGGCTGCTGCATTGTATGCTTTCTTCTGTCAAGTCATTTGTTTTACGCAAGTATTTACTGAAACTTTCCTCCTTAACTCTTCTCTCAGAGCGAACTTCTCTTTCTGCAGAATGCGCGAGTTCCCTTTCGGCCGGCGGAGCAGGCTCGAGCTCCTCCCCACTCCCCGTAGAGGGCGACCGTCTCTCGCCGCTTCCTCCCGCCATCCCCGACGACAGGAGGATTTCTCGCACTCTTTCTATGAGGTCCTCCCTGCTCGGGACGCTCATTCGGACTGGCTGTGGCGCCGGAGGTCCGCCTCGCTGGTCCTGGGCCTGTCCCTGAAGTGATCCCAGAGAATTGGGGTCCGGCCGGTGGAGCCTCATCCTCTTGGGCTTGGGCGGCGGCAAGCGGGCGTGCGGGCGGTGTGTGGCAAACGCCGGCGGCTTCCCCGACATGAAGCGCGGGTGCCACGATGAAGCGTCACTGGCACAGGGCTTGCGCTTGGCTCTGGCCGCCAAGGTCGCGCCCGCCGGCGGTAGGCCAGCGTCGACACAAGGCCGTGATTTGTTTGCCCATGGTCTCGTTATCAGCGACGGTCCGCGGGCACCGGGCACAAGGCAGCCGCCGGTCGGTTGTTGTAGCAACGAGGAGCTCGTCGTATCGCATGGCTTTGTTAGAATCCCGGAGAGCGAGTCTGTTGTTTTCGCTGACACAGCAGGTGGCCGCACCGGCCAGGCGGGGACACATGTGTTTTGGGCAGATAAAGGCAGCGTCAACTCAGGGCGTACGCGAAATGTGCTTTGTTTCACGTCGATCTGAATGCCGGGCGAGCCCACATCGCGACTGGAATCTTGCGCTGAAGACGAAGGTAACTTTCTTGTTTGTGCTTCCTGGGCGCCAGGAAACGACTGCCTTCCCTCAACGGAAGCTGACGTTCCTTGCGCAGTAGTCATGGAGGAAGACGGCGGACCTGCCAAAGATGCCTGCGTTGTCCGGGGTAAGTTTTGCGCAAGGGATGATGACGATGACGCTAAAATGGCGGCGGAGGTGGGCGCAGCGGCGACGGCAGGGCGGCCGAGCAAGCTGGGAGACGTCCCGGACCGCCGCAACAACATCCAAGGATAAGCGGAAGTGCTTATCATCTTGGATACGTAGGCAGGTGGGGACACGTGCGCCCCGGGCAGAGAAGGCTCAACAGCTGCCCCGACCCGCGGCCTCCCTTGTTGCAGGTTTGGTTCGCGTTGATGTTGCAGCTGCTGACTTTTTTGCTGTTTATAATCGGCCGTAAACGCCGTGGTGACTTGCTGTTGCTGGTGAACTTGGTGCTGAGCCTCTTCGTGGCGACCATGAAGGCTCCGGTCCCTCTGCCCCTGAAGACTTGGGTGCTTTTCGTCCTCGAGCGGTGAGCGGTGCGGGAGCGCGTGCAGTGTGGTCTCTCGGTCTCTCTGTTGTTGGCGGAGAAGGTTTTGTAACTCGAGGCTACCGGCCGGAGGGCCAGGAAGGGGTCCGAGAGGGCGATACTTGCTGTCCTGGGAATGCAGCGCCGAGAAGCTACTCTGCTGCTCTTGACGGCAAGTGAACTCCGGAGGCCCGGAGGAAACAGGGGCGGGTGGCCGCAGGGGAACCCTGGGGGGCGAAGCAGAGGACGCCTGTTTGTGCGACGGCGCCACGACCCGTGTGGATTCAGCAATGCTGAACCTTCCGGGGGCCCGTCCCTCTAAGAGACTCCTGCCCTCGGATGAAGCCACCCTTGCAGCGCTCTGAGGAACCGCCATGGCCTGGAGAACCGTTCTGGGGGCTTTCCTTGAGGGCAGATGCTTTGCGGCCGCCCGTCCCACACCCCCGGAGAAGGAAGGGACGTTGCCTTCGACGCCACCTTCGGTCTCCAGAGCCTCCTTCCTCTCCTCTCGGCCTTCCTTCCTCCCGTTCTCTTGGTTCTGCAGGAGGATCCTGGCGGGGTTCCCGAGGTCCCCTCCTGCGCCCCCGCCGCCCATGCCACCCACACTCTTCATCGTTTCCCTCGAGGCAGCGCGGCCCTTCCTCTCTCGGCGGCCTTATCGTCATCCGCCACAAACATCCATCATACTGTTTAAAAAAAGAAGGCTTGCTTCGTAAACAGGCGATGGCGATTATCCCGTCGCCACCACCACCGACGGAAAGACCTTCGCCACGACCACGGCTGACGTCATGCGCTGCGGGACGCTATTTCCACCGCTGCCAAACAAGGCACTCGTCGCCGCACGGACATACGCCCACGCAGACGACACAGAATGGCTACACGACACGACAAAGGGCGCGAAACCCACACCCACAAAGAACACACAAGACACACGAGGAAGTGACGTTGCGCTGTTCACGCCCACGGCTACGCCAGAACTGGTTGGGAGTCAGCCTTTCCTCGACGGTACGATGTGCGACACGCAACTATAGCATAGCGGTTCTTCACTGACTGCGAAACATGTAAACTTCTCTTGAGGACTCACCATACATCACAAATACACATAAAAAAAATAAATGCATCAACGTATTTTTTTTCACAAACGGAAAAGACAGTTCAGTCCGGAACGCACTCCAGGACGCACCACAAGATGTAAATTTGGAACACGCCTCGACCCCCCCACAGAGGCGTCACGAGAAAGCACACCTCCTCCTCCGACAACACTTGCAAGACGGACAAACACCCATTCTCCCAAGGCCTCGACCCCCCCTCACCCCTCTCCCTAGTCCCTCCCCCAACCAGGGGCGTCACCAGGAGCCGCTAGGGACCTCCCACTTCCCCCTCCGTCATTTGCCACTCGGAGGTTCGTCTCTCGTCCGATCTTTATCTTGCGAGCCTTCCTTGGTCTCTCTCTTTCTTCCTGTCTCTTTCTTTCCTTCTCTGTTTCTCTCGCTCACTGTGCACATGCAGCTCTACGCAACGAATGCCATGAGGGGGGGGGGGAGAAGGAAAGGGAGGGAGGGAGGGAGGAAAATGGGATAGGTAAAGAGAGATAAGGGGGAAAGATTAAGTAATAGTGAGAGAATGAAAGAGAAAGAGAAAGAGATACAGAAAGAGAAAATAAACAAACAGAAAACTACAACAACAGAGAGACAAGAAAAACGCGAAGAAAAGAGGAAGAACACACAGAGTAACACCGGCAACCCAGGAGGCGAACCGCGCGATACCTCGGTACTGGTGAGCGACGGGAGATGAACCGGGGAATGTTGACACTCGGGGCAGGTGCGAACGAAGCGGTTCTCTACCCTCATGATGGCGGCGAGGGGGAAGGGGACGAGCGGTGTGATGGCGGGGAGGGGGAGGGGGGAAGGGGGAGGTGGTGTGAGGCTGGGAGAGGAGGGGGAGGAAGGGAGAGGAGGGGGGAGGAGGGGAGAGGAGGGAAGGAAGGGGGAGGAAGGGAGAGGAGTGAAGGAAGGGTGGGGAAGGGGGAGGAGGGAAGGAAGGGGGAGGCAGGGTAAGGATGAGAGAGGAGGGGAGAGGAGGGGAGAGGATGGAAGAGGAGGGGAGAGAAAGAAGGAAAAGAGGGGGAGGAAAGAGGAGAGAAGAGAGGAGAAGGAGGGAAGGGAAGGGAAGGGAAGAGAAGACGAGATGCAGATGGCAGGGAAGAGGGGGGGAGGGGCGAGAAAAGAGGGAAGGGAAAGACCGAGGTAAAGTGATGAAAGAGAGCAAGAGAACGAAACGAAGAAGAGGGGGCGATGGGAGAGGGAGACCATGAGGGTATAAGACAGGAAGAGAAGGGATAAAAATGTAAACAGAAACGAGATAATAAAAAAAGTACAACAAACCGGAAAAATACGAAACATTCTCAAAGTCGCCACACTACAACACAAACACACCTCCCTCTCCTTCCCTCTCCCCTCACCCACCAATCACGGACACATACGCCCCCCCCCCCCCTCCCATGCAGTGGAAACGTATCGCCAAGCCAACAGCGCCCGACCCGAGACCCGAGACTACGAGACGAGGCAGGTGTGATTCGCGCATACCGCTGAAATGAGGGTTAATTAGCACAGGTGTGTCCCGCCCGGCCCTCCGCCCCCCCCCCCCCTCTTCTCACCCGCCGAGTTGTTGTTATTGTCTCCTTCCGTCAATCTCTGTCTCTCTGTTTCGCTTCCCGCTTCTTCTCCGAGGTTTCTCTTCTAGCGTTTTCATTTCCACTCTTTTATGTCTCGCCTCTCTTTCTTCTACATATCCTCTTCTCTTCGTCACGGATGCAACATTTTTTTTCCTTATCATTCATTTCTCAGAACTCCGCTTATATGTCTTTTCTTTGTTTCTCCTTCATCAGTCTATTTCAGTATACTCTCCTAAATATCTTTCTTCTCATATCTCCTCCCCCTTATTCCCCTTTCGCTCTTCTTCCTCCTGTAATTCTCTCCTCTCCGTCCTCTTGCCAACTATTATGCTTTCTCTTCTCTCTGATCTCATACTGTTTTATCCTCCCTCCGTCTTTCTACCTGTCAGATCTTCAAATATCGACCACTATCTCTCTCTCTCTCTCTCTCTCTCTCTCTCTCTCTCTCTCTCTCTCTCTCTCTCTCTCTCTCTCTCTCTCTCTCTCTCTCTCGTTTTGTTACTTTTCCTTTTGCGTAATAGACATACGCTTGAAAACTTCCTCGCTATTTTTTTTCGTTCTTCTTTTCTTCTTCTCGAATGTGTTTATCTACCCCATTTCTTTTCCCCTTTTCCTCCGTGTTCCCCCTTGTTTCACAGTTTCTCTCATTCTCATCTACGTCCCGTATTTTTTTCTTCCTCGTCCTCCTACTAGTCGGCATAGTCCTTCTCCCCCTCTTTTCCACTTCTTCCCTCTTCTTTCATTCATACGACATTTCTTATTTTCTTCTTTCTCGCTGATACTTACTCACCTCCTCCTCCTCCTCTTCCTCTTCCTGTTTCCCTACGACTATTGTTGTTCTTATTCTCATATCTCCCTCTCCCTTTTCAATTGTCGTCCTCATCCCTCTTCCTCCTCATCCTCTTTTCCAATTCCTCTTCCTTCTCTAAGCTAACTTTCCTCTTCTTTTCCCAATTCTTTCTCCTCTCCCTTTCTCTCTGTTCACCTTCCCCGCGCCCTCCTCTTCTGCAGGAACCTCATCTTTAAGTTTACCCAATATTCCAGCCCTGTCAAGGTTACCACCACCACCACCCCACGCCGTCCGAGCATTACTTGCTATGACTCACCTCTCTCCCTCTCCCTCTCCCTTTCCCTCTCTCTCTTCCTCATTCTGTCTCACAGTGATTATACATGAATTTGAATTATATATGCATGTATGTACGTGTGTACATATATAAATATATATAAATAAATAAACAAACAAACAAACAAATAAATAAATAAATAATATATATATACATATACACATCTCACCCCCCCTCCCTCTCTCTCTCTCTCTCTCTCTCTCTCTCTCTCTCTCTCTCTCTCTCTCTCTCTCTCTCTCTCTCTCTCTCTCTCTCTCTCTCTCTCTCTCTCCCCCTCTCTCTCTCTCTCTCCCCCTCTCTCTCTCTCTCTCTCCCCTCTCTCTCTCTCTCTCTCCTCCCCCCCTCTCTCTCTCTCTCTCCCCCCCCCCTCTCTCTCTCTCTCTCCCCCCCCTCTCTCTCTCTCTCTCTCTCTCTCTCTCCCCTCTGTAAATATATAAATATATATACATACACACACACACACACACACATATAGTATATATATATATATATATATATATATATATATATATATATATATATATATATATATATATATATATATATATAGAGAGAGAGAGAGAGAGAGAGAGAGAGAGAGAGAGAGAGAGAGAGAGAGAGAGAGAGAACAGGAAAGAAAAAGACAAAGACATGTTACCTGAATTTACGTTCTTACATTTTTCTCCAATAACAAACTTCATCCCACAAGGCCCATCATTCTCTCTACTCGTGTCGAACCAGAAAAAAATCCGCTACAACCACCACACATGAGTCAAACATGACGCACGCGATAACAACAAAGACCTTGAACAAAGGCCGGTGTTCGTAGCTTCCTGGCCAGAGGAATGCAACTACAAATGGCTTAGTATCCCCTTCTGAGCAACGAGGAAACAATCCGTTTTCTGTTGTGCGGAGTCTGAAGAATTGTTCCAATTTTTTAAGCCGATTTTCCTATTTTACATTTCCGTCCAGTGCGAGAGAGAGAGAGAGAGAGAGAGAGAGAGAGAGAGAGAGAGAGAGAGAGAGAGAGAGAGAGAGAGAGAGAGAGAGAGAGAGAGAGAGGGAGAGGGAGAGGGAGAGGGAGAGAGAGAGAGAATGAGAGAGAGTAGAGGGAATTACGAAAGAGAAAAGAAGAGGAGAGGCAAAAGAAAAGAAGCGAAGAGAGGAGATAAGAGCTAGGAGAAGCGAGGGGAGGGCAAGGAAGGGGAGAGGACTAGAAGGAAAGGGGAAAGGGAAGGGAGAGGGAAAAAAAAAAAAAGAGAGAGAAACGCAAACATCGCACGGCTTCCCGAATCACCTACCCCTTCTACCCGGCAACCATTCCCTTTAACAAACCATTTAACAATACAACAAGCATCCCCCAGTAAGTTACTCCCCTTCCGGACACTATCCCCCACCATCCCCTCTATCTTGTAAATCCCCCCCCCCCCCCCGACTCAACCACCTCCTCCCTCCCTTTACCCTCTGCATCGTGCACCCCCCCCCCCCCCCCATTCCGCCGTCAAGGTCATCCTACAGAGGTAATTATCCGCTGTTTACCTCGGGAGCTTCGGCCGTGTATACTGAGAGTATACTGTCGATGTACAGATGCAGCAGCTCTCTAGACTGTACATGCGCATATTAGTGTATATATGTGTATGTGTGTGTATGTGTGTATATGTGTGTGTGTGTGTATGTGTGTGTATGTATTGTATGTATGTGTGTGTATGTGTGTGTATGTGTGTATATGTGTATATGTGTGTGTATGTGTATATATGTGTATATGTGTGTGTATGTGTGTGTGTGTGTGTGTGTGTGTGTGTGTGTGTGTGTGTGTGTGTGTGTGTGTGTGTGTGTGTGTGTGTGTGTGTGTGTGTGTGTGTTTGTGTATGTTTGTGCGAGCGCGTGTGTGTTTAAAGTACATGTCCGGAAGCGTGTGCATATATGTACAAACCTGCACATTTTCGCAACTTTAAGTACAAATGTATGATTCAGTATCCAGACAATTCACACACACACATGAACACCCAAACCACGACAAAGAATTTTAACATCCTTGGGATCAACCGCTGAATATATTATCAATCTATCTATCTGTGTATCCTTTTATGTATATTTATCACTCTCCCTATCTATCTAGTCATTATCTCTATATAGATAATGCAAAGTAAAAATTGAAAGATAAAGATAAGAGGGAGGGAGGGATGGAGATAGGGAGATAGGGAGATAGGGAAGGAGAGAGAGAGAGAGAGAGAGAGAGAGAGAGAGAGAGAGAGAGAGAGAGAGAGAGAGAGAGAGAGAGAGAGAGAGAGAGAGAGAGAGAATGAAAAAAGGGGGGGGGAGGGAATAATACTTCACATGCAGAAGAGGGTTAGAGAGGGACGCTGAATAGCGAGGGGCGAGGGGGCGAA